TCAGGGATGGGGCCCTGGGTTTGTGGAAACGAAGCAAGAGTAACACAGCTGCTCCAAGTACAACGAGCTGGTGTGACCTCTTGGCAGGAAATCCAGGGAAAACCAGCAGCAGTTCTTCTAGATCCATGCCAGAGCACTGGAAATAAGCTCTTCTGAGGGGCTGGAGCATGAAGTCTGTGCTGCTGGGAGTGCAGGGGGTTTGAGATACACCAGCGGTGGAGAATCTTGCCATAAATAAAATCAGTCCAGTTTTCACATCTCATTTGTTCCAGGGCCCTGACAGGGACTCTGAGACCACCACGTGCTCAGGGAGTGTTGTTTTATTCCAGAACAAACTGTGCTGCTGAGGCAGGACAGCAACTTGCTGTGAGTCAGGATACTTGGAGTGTCACCAACAGTTGTTTTTCCTTACTGGGATAGAGCTTTGGGTTTTGAGGCAGCAACCCAGAGTCCCGTCCTCTGCTGCATTCCAGAGAGGGAATGGAGAGCACAGGCAGCATCTCTGACTGGGAGAGGCCCAAAGATGTCCTGACCATTCCTCCCCCCAGTCTGATTGCCCAAAGGCTTTTTCAGGAGGTGCCTTGGCCTCCCTTGGGAGATCCATGGTTATTGTCCCTGCCCATGGCAGGGCATTGGAATGAGACGATCTTTAAGGTCCCTTCCAACCCAAACCATTCCACGATTTGGGTGAGCTGCTCATGAAGAACCCCATTCCCTGGTGGGCTGGGAAGCCAGGATGGGAGCAATCCAAGGAAGTGCACTGTCAGTGGGAATCCTTGTACGAAGTCATCGTGTCACTGTGAACCAGAAGCCTCATCTGGGCACACTCTGGCATCGCTCACACCAACCCATCTGTTCATTCTGGTTTCAGCTTGAGGGGGTCCCACAGCCCCAGCTGAGGGGAGGGGGTGGGGCCGGGGGGGGTCGGGCTCTGCTCCCAGGGAACAAGGGACAGGATGAGAGGGAACGACCTCAAGCTGTGCCAGGGGAGGGTCACGTTGGATATTGGGAAAATTTGTTCACTGAAAGGGCTGTCCAGCCCTGGCGCAGCTGCCCAGGGCAGAGGTGGTGTCCCCATCCCTGAAAGGATTTCAAATCTATGTAGATGTGGCACCTGGGGACATGAGTCAGTGGTGGCCTTGGCAGTGCTGGGAGAACATTTGGCCTCGATGGTCTTAGAGGGCTTTTCCAACCTTGACAATTTCATGATTCTCTGATTCTATGGCTTTAAAAATGTCTTCAAGCTCCTGTGATTTCATCTTCTAGAAATTTGGCGACTCAGCCAACAGCCTGTTCAGCGTGGGGCAGGAGCCTGGGACACAGAGAGTGAGCAGTGAAGCCACCAGTGAAGGCCCCCTGCCCCAAAATGGTTAAGGGAAAATTCTAGAGAGATTTTGTGGGTGCTGGAGCAGAGAATGTGGTGCTGGAAGGCTCATCCTGTCCATCTCCTGGCCTCCAGCTGGGCTTAAGCGGCTTCAAGCATCCTCAGATCTCTGGCCCCCCTGAGCTGGGCTGTCCTGCCAGGAAAAATGCAATCTTCCATCTACCCCAAAAAAGGCTTTGCCTTAATTTCATCTCTGGAGCCACAACAGTCCCTGACACAGTTTTAGGACTGTGATGTGGATGGTTTAAGAGCACAGCCCAGCATATCCCAGAAGGATATTATTTCCTGGCTCAGGCTCCCCAGCTTAGCAAGTGTTCGTCCCTGCTGCCTCCCACTGCAGATCCCAAATCCCGCCCTGCCAATGCAGTGAGCTCCCAACAGGCAGCAGTTAATCCCTGTCCTGAAACATGAGATAATTCCCACCCTGTGCTCCCAGGCACACAGTAAATCCACCTGGATTTCCTCTCCCCTGCTCCTGCACCAAGGGCTCACAGCACCATCCCGGCACATTCCATCTCTGCCTCCAAGGAAGGTCCAGCAGTGGTTTAGAAGCAGATCCAAGAGAAACTGCCTGGCTGGATCTCATCACTAAACTGTCCCATTGGATTTAATTTCTCCCAGCTCTGACTTCCATGCTTCACCTGGAGCTTCTTGCTGGAGAGGGACTTGGGACAAGGGATGGAGGGACAGGACAAGGGGAAATGGCTTCCCACTGCCAGAGGGCAGGATTGGATGGGATATTGGGAGGAAATCCTTCCCTGTGAGGGTGGGGAGGCCCTGGCACAGGTTGCCCAGAGAAGCTGTGGCTGCCCCTGGATCCCTGGAAGTGTCCAAGGCCAGGTTGGATGAGGCTTGGAGCAACCTGGGCTAGTGGGAGGTGTCCCTGCCCATAACAGGGAGTGGGACTGGATGGGCTATAAGGTCCTTTCCAACCCAAACCATCCTGGGATTCCATAATTCCATGATTCCTTGCCAGCCAGCACCTCCAAGCATATGGAGGTGCCACCATTCCTGCTGTCACCACTCAGAGCTGTCACCCCTCCTCAGGAGGGTCACCCCTCCCCATGCCCACGTGAGGACTGTGCCCATCATTCCCTGCTGGGCTGGTCCTGCCCTGTGCCAGGGGCTGCTCTCCAGAAAGGTGTCCCATCAGCTCCCCTTCCACAAAGCCCCCAGGGCTGGGATGCCTTTCCCTCACCCACCTCGGCCGGAGCAGTGCTGGACTCAGCACATGGGCAGCTGCTGCCAGTGGGAAACCCAATCCTTCCTGGGGCCTGGCCGGAGCACAGGGATGACACCGGGCTGAGATCACGGCCCAAAATACCCAGAGAGAGAGTCACCTCACCTGGCCAGCCCTGCTGCCACTGCCCTCCATGGGCAGCACAACTCCCAGTCCCACCAGGAATGCTGCCCATGGGACCCCCGTGCCCAGCCCAGCTCCCTGGAGCAGTAGGGCACCAAGTAGAAATCAGTAGGAACCCAAGGTGGAAAAGGCAAAGCTGTGGATGGAGTCAGGATCTGGGCAGACCCAGTGCCAGCAAATGAGTCCAGGAGCTGGGATGGACAGGAATTCCCTGGGGAAGGGCTCCTGAGCCAGCGATGCCACAGATGGCTGGTTTGCAGGTCCCTCCACTCCTCCCAGAAAACCAAAAGGGCTTCCAACCCTCCTTGCTATGGAAAAGCCTCTGGAATGTGAGCCCAGAAAGTAAACAGGTTCCTGGCCAGCGTAGGGGCTGTTGGCTGATAACTGGGGGCCCTTTGTGTCCTTTTTGGGATGGGCACCACTCCAGCCACACCTGGAGCACCTGCCAAAGGTGGCACCGGCCGTAGCACTCTGGCACACCCCGGAGAGCTGCCCTCCCTTCAGGGTGTGCTGGGAAGGAGCTGCTGGAAGTGGCCTCCGAACTCCTGCCCTGATAATGGAAACGAATCGCTGTTTGGGAAAGAGGGCGGGGGCGAGCAGGGATTTTCCAGGGGAAGAGGGTCGTGCTTACGCAGTGGGGTGAGTCACCGGGCTGGCGACACACGGTGTGATTGTTGGGGCTGTCCTGAGCAGGGCCAGGAGTTGGATCCGACGATCCTTGTGGGTCCCATCCAATTTCAGGATATTCCATGATTCCATGACTCAGGGAGCAGGATGCTCCAGTGCTGCGCCGGGGCAGGGCGAGGCTCCCAGCAGGGCCAGCCCCGGACATGCGGTCAGTGACTCCTCTCCGTGTCACCGCACCCTCCCGGGCGGGTCCCACCGCCAGCCCTGGGGCTGCCAAACCACGGCTGTCCCTGCCCTGGAGCACAGAGCCCTCAGACACAGCGGCCACGGGGACATCCCGAGGCATTTCCATGCCTGTTTCCCATCCCTACACTGAGTGTGGTTCCTCCCTTCCTTCCCTCTCGGGCAGGAGATCACCGCGAGCCGAGGGTGGCGTACGACAAAAATAGAGCTTTATTTTGGGACAAGTGCAATCGGAGCTGGGTCCTTCGGCCCCGGCACGGAGACACGAGCGTGGCAATGGCCCCCAGGGCCCCCGGCGGTGCCAGGGCACACACAAGGCTGTCCCTTTGCCATGGTGAGTGTGTGCTGTGCCACAGCCCAGCACCGTCCCACGCCTCAGCCTGGCACCGCCCTGGAGCGATGGCGGGTGGTCTGGGCTGTCCCCGTCCCCTCAGCCGGGCTCTCGCCATCTCTGCCACGGATACCAGTCTGTGCCAGCCACGGCACGCTGGGAGGGATGGGGACAGGGGGATGGGGACAGCTGTGGGGGCTGGAAGGGCACAGCTGGGACAAAGGTGACGCTGGCAGCACCACCGGCAGCCCCATGGGATTGTCACAACACGGTGGGGATAAGGACAGAGGAGGGAACACACACCCGCCCTGTCCTGGGCATCCTGTTCGGCCATGAGAACAGTGTGTACACACAGCCAGGGTCCACTCCAGCCAGCAGAGCTCAGTAGTGACACACACACGTGTGAACACACACACACACACACATGAACACACACAGACAGACAGTTGTTTCCCCAGGCAGGACAGCAGCTGGATGCCCCCTGTCCTGTATCCAGAGTCGTGTATCCACAGCCATGTCCCTGAGCATTCCCAGCCTGTGTGTGCACACGGGGACACACGTGTGGAGCTGGGGCACACAGCTGCACACACACACACACACACACAGACACAGGTACCTGCACAGAGCCTGTGTGCACACCTGTACCTGCCTGACCCCCCCCCCCAGAGCTGTGCACGGCAGCACACACGTGCCACACACATGCAGAGCTGTGCACACACTCACATATGCACAGTCTGTACCAACACACACGTGCACGAGACCTGCCTGCACATGCAGAGCCTTCACACAACACGTGTGCACATCAACACACGTGTGCTCACAGAGTTGTGCACACCAGCACACACCTGTGCACAGTGCCTTGCACATCAGGAGGGATGTGCAGCGCACAGCACCGTGCACCTCAGCACCCGTGTGTGCACACAGAGCTGTGCAAACCCACAAACGTGCACACAGAGCCATGCACACCAACACGTGTGCACAGCACCGTGCACCTCAGCACACGTGTGTGCACAGAGCTGTGCAGTCACATGTGCACACAAAACCATGCACACCAACACATGTGCACAGCACTGTGCACCCCAGCACACGTGTGCACAGAGCTGTGCAAACCACATGTACACACAACCATGCAGGGTGGGACACCCACTATGTACATGGTACCACGCACCTCAGCACATACGAGTGCACAGAGCTGTGCATGCCAGCACACCCATGTGCACAGTACCACACACACTGGCACACCCATGTGCACAGCACTGTGTACACCAGCACACACATGTCCAGAGCTGTGCACACCAGCACACACATGTGCACAGTCACACACACTGGCGCACACACATGTGCACACCGGCAAACACGTGCTCACAGAGCTGTGCAAACAGCCACAGGTGTGTGCACAGACCTGTGCAAACCAGCAAACACACGTGCACAGAGCCACACACGGGCACACACGTGCACAGCACTGTGCACCTCAACATTCCCGTGGGCACACAGAGCCGGGCACACTGGCACACAGATGTGCAGAGTGGCACACACATGTGCACAGTCACACCCATGTGCACAGCACCGTGCACCTCAGCACACACGTGGGCACAGAGCCAGGCACACTGGCACACACATGCGCTCAGCGTGTCCCACACTGGCACACACGTGCACAGTCACACACACGTGCAGTGTCACACACACTGGCACACACGTGTGCCCAGCACGACACCCCTCAGCACACACACGTGTTCCCTGAGCCCCCCTGCCCTCGCTCAGAGCCTCCCTCGCCCCCGCTCCACCCTCAGACCCCTACTCGTGGCGCGGGTGCCGCCGCAGCGCCCGCAGGGGCCAGCACGCGGCCAGGAGCTGGGGCTGGTGGTACAGCACCATCCCCGCCAGCGTCAGCGCCACGCCGGCGTAGCCCAGCGCGCCCAGCCGCGTGCCGAACAGCAGGCGGGACAGCAGCAGGTTGCCCACCACGGTGAGGCTGCCCAGGAGGTGCAGCGTGAGGGCGGAGGTGAGGGACAGGAGGCAGGACGTGGCCAGGTTGTAGAGGACGGAGCCCAGGCAGCTGAGCAGGACGCAGCCCCAGAGCGCGGCGTCGGGGCGCAGCACCCCCTGCCACGAGGGGCCCAGCTCCAGCGCCACGGCCGCCCCAAACAGCAGCACGAAGCTGGGCAGGGACGTCAGGCCGAGCAGGGACAGCGCGTCCAGATGGTCCTCCTGCAGCAGCACACCTGGGGGGACAGGGGACAGTCAGGGGGACGTGTGGGACAACCCAGGGGGACACCCAGCACCTGTAGCGGCATCCACCCAGCTGGGACACCCAGCACCCACAGCGGCACCCACCCAGGGGGGACACCCAGCACCTACAGCAGCACCCACCCAGCTGGGACACTCAGCACCTACAGGGGCACCCACCCAGGGGGACACCCAGCACCCACAGGGGCACCCCCAGATGGGAACACCCACCAATATGGGTCCCTGCTGGCTGCCCAAGTAGTTAAGAAATCCCAAATGTCACTGGGAAGGGGGAAATGGAGGGGACAGTCCCTTCTGTGGGCTGGGGGTCCCCTGCCTTGGGGGGTTGTCCCCCACTTTGAGGGTTCCCTGGTTTGGAGGTGCCTTGGTTCAGAAGACACCCCAGTTCAGAACTTTCCCATGTTTGGGATTCCCTGGTTTTATGGGGTGCCCTGGTTCAGACAGAGTCCGGGTTCAGGGGTGTCCTGGTTTGGGGGTCAGGGTGCCACGGGACAGGGTTGGACAGGGCAGCTTTCCCAGCCTCTTTTGGAGCATTGTCCCCACATCCCCCCTCTGGGTCATCTGGGGACAGTGGGGACAGCAGGCACGACAGGGCTGGCTGCCACACACAGACATGCACAGCGGGCAGTGCTGTGTCCATGGGGGACAGAACAGCCACTGTCCATGTCCCATGGGGGTGACAAGGGGACAGGGCAGTGGCATCATGGGCAGGGCTGTCCCTTGGGGGGCCACAGCACCTCGGCACAGCCATGGGCACAGGGCCCCACAGCAGAGCCCGTCCCTGCAGTGCCCTGAGTCACAGGCTCCAGAGGAAATGCTCCCTTCCCAGCCAAAAACATCCTGGCTGGCTCCTCACTGCCACTTGCCAAGGACACCATGGCCCGGGTGGCACCAGAGTCCCTGGGAATGGGGGACTCACAGGGGTCCAGAGCCCACAGTGCTGGCAGGGAGCCCATGGGAATGGGGCAGGCTGGGTGTCCCTGTGCCCCCCCACGGCCACAGGACGTGGGTCAGTGTCACCAGGAGCCAGCAGTGCCAGGGGACACCGCAGGGACACCAATGGTGTCATCACTGAGGTCAAACTGAGGTCACATCACCTCAGGGCCAGGAGCATGACACAGCCCCAAGGGGGCAAGGGTGGCACTGGAGTAGCACTGGGGTGACACCAGGCACAGAGTGGGCAAGGGGTGGCACTGGGGTGACAGCAGGGTGGCACCAAGGCCAAGGAGGACAGCAGGTGGCAATGGGACTGGGATGGCATAGAACTGGCACTGGGGCGGGGGTGACACTGGGGGCCAGAGTGCCACCAGGGCTGGGGTGACAATGGAGTGGCACTGGGGCCAGGGTGGGCAGGGAGTGTCACCAGCACCAGGGTGGCACTGGGGTGACACCAGCGACAGGGTGGGCAAGGGGTGGCACTGGGGCTGGGGTGACACTAGGATGACATCCAGTACAGGGTGGGGAGGGGGGTGGCACTGACCAGAGCCAGGGTGGGCAGCATGAGCGAGCAGGGAGCGTCCCCAGCCCCACGGTGACACCGAGGTGCCACCAGCCCCCCCGCGCCCCAGGGGCCGCGCCAGAGGAGGACGCACATGCAGGACAGCGACAGGGACAGGTGGCACTTACTCTGCTGGATGGACTTGAGGGCGCGGAGCACGGTGGCGGCCAACAGGAAGCCGCAGCCGGGCTGGGAGAAGCGGAGCCCGCCGGCGATGCTGCAGGCGGCCCCGGCACACACCGGGCCCATGGCCCAGCACTGCAGCGGGTGCGGCCGCCGGCCACCCAGCACCCCCAGCACCAGCGTCACCAGCGGCGTGGTGGTGGCCACGGCCTGGGCCACGTCCAGCTGCACGTAGCTCAGGCCCAGGTTGCCCAGGGCCACGCTGGTGCAGAAGGTGAGGCTGAGCAGGTAGATGCGGGCGCGGGGCCGCGGGGAGCGGGCACCCCGCGCCCAGCCCAGCGGGTACCCCACGGCCACCCCCGACAGCATGTGCAGCGAGGAGAGCAGCAGCGGGTATCGGAACCCGTGCGCCGCGAAGATCCACTTGTTGAGGCCGGCCATGGTGGTGCCGGTGCCCAGCCAGGCCAGCACGCTCAGGGTCAGCGGCAGCGCCGGGCCCGGCGGGGGCGGCCGCCCCCCGTCCGCCTGCCCCGGGTCGGGCTTCCAGGGCCGGAGGGTGCCCTCGCCCGCCGTGCTCATCGCGGCCTCATCGCCCCGCCGCGACCGCGGGCACATGGGCACCGGCCCCGCTGCCTCCGGCCGCCCCTCGCCGCTCTGCCCCGTCCTCCCGCGCCGCGCCGAGAGCCGCCGCACCCGGGCAGCGGCGGGGGCGGTGACCGGTCGCTCCGGCGGTGGCGGTGTCGCTGTCGGCGGTGTCCCCGCGCCCGGGGGCGGTGGCGGAGCTCAGCCCCGCGGTGCCGGGGCCATGTGCCGGGAGGAGGCGGCGGCGGCGGCCGGGAACCAGCGCAAAGTTTGGTGATGGCGGGAGCGGAGGGCGGAGGCTCCTCCCCGTGAGGGCCCCGCGCGTCACGGCCGCCGGGCGGGGTTCGGGGGCACGGGGGGCACCGCGGGCACGCCCAGCGATCCGCCCGGGGCGGCGGGGCCCGCAGGGGACCCTCGGGGCCCCAGGGACACCACAGCGGCCTCCCCGCCACAGCCCCCGCCGCCCTCACGGAGCGACCGCCATCGCTTCCCCCGCCCGGGAGCGTCACCGGCATCGCCCCCGAGCCCGAACCGCGGCGACATCCCCGACACCGCCCCCGGCCCCGCTCGCTGCCGCTGCCCTGCCGTGATCCGGGGGCTTGGGCTAAACCCCGCGGGTGCCCCTCGCCCTGGGTGTGGCCCCGGGGGCTCAGTGGGGAGGGCCAGGGCCCCGCCAAGGCGTTTACAGAGGAGGGTGATCCCAGCTGGCGGCTTTCTGGGGATGAGCAGCGCTGACTCGGTCTCCCCAAACCTTTGCATATCCCAAAAATGCTTTGGACACCCCAAAACCGGCTGCTCCCAGCACCTGCCTGCGCCATCCCTGAGAGGGACCAGGACCAGAGGAGCTGCTGGTCCCAGTGCTCCCATTCAACAGCACCCGTAGTACAAGGCACATTCTGTCCCCCTCCTCTTCCTCCTCCCCCTGGCAGATTTGGGGTGCTGACCCCTGGAAAGCAGGAGACGGAAAGCAGGTGCTGTGCCCACAGGGGAGGTTTCATTGCCATCACCCCCTACAGCCCCCTACCCTCTACCACTCGCTGAGGCGCAGGATGAGGGTCTCCCCATCGCGGGGAATGTAGTCGGCGACACCTGCAGAGGGAGGGACAGTGACCTCAGGTGAGACTGGGGGCCCCAGGGGCCGTGGGGACTGCCTGGGACCCCCACTGCCTCCCCAGGGACCCCCACCCATCACTTACCTGTCACCAGGGGGGTGCTGGGGGCTGTCAGGAGCTGCCAGTAGTTCCGCTTCTCCTGCCGGGCCTCCAGCCCCAGCACCTGGGTCAGGTAGGGGCCCTGGGGGGTGTCCTGGGTGTCGAACCTGGGGGGTGGCAGAGGGCAGTGAGGGGGATGAGTGTCCAGGCCTGGCACCGCTGGCAGTGGGACGGGGCAGCTCCCAGGGGAGCCGGGCAGTGGGAACCAGGGTGAGCCCTTGGCGTGGGCGCAGGACACAAGGCCACCCCAGTGCGACCCCAGTGGACCCCAGGTGGGTCACATACGTGAAGTGGGGTTTCTGTGCAGCGGCCACCCCAAGCACATCCAGCAGGGAGGCGGCAGCAGGCGTGGACACCTGCCGGTCGTAGAGCTGGAGCTCAAAACACCAGGGCTGGGCACACTCCACCACCAGCCGCACTGTCTTGTTCCCTGGCACCTCAGTCGGGGGCTCCACGTCGAGGGGTGTCAGTGTATCTGTGAGAAGTCACCGCAGCGTTGATGGACACCCGGCCACCACCACGGTGGCACCGGCACCAACCCCATCCCGGCTGCCCCCGGCTCATACCTGACTCCTCCTGGCAGCGCATGGAGGCGATGTCCAGGTAGGAGTGGCCGTGCAGCACTGGCAGCACCTGGGCCATGGTGGTGGCCGTGCCGAAGGCATCCAGGTTCTCCAGCAGTGCAGCCATGGCCCGGCTGTAAGCTGGCTCCACGTGGCACATGCCTGTGGCCAGGAACACCTGGAGCAGGAGGGAGGTGGTGGGGCAGCGAGAAGAGGAGGAAGGTGGTTGGGCACCTGGGCACCGCAGGGCTGAGCATCACCTGCCCTGGGGCAGCTGCCTCTGCCCAGGCACCACCATCTGCATCTGTACCTGCACCCACACCCCACATCTGCACCCACATCTCACATCTGCACCTGTAGCTGTATCTACACCCACATCTGCACCTGTCTACACCCTCACCTACAGCTTTCTGCACCTGCACCCCACATCTGCACCTGTACTTTTATCTAC